TTGTGTACCTCCACCAGTTGGAAACAAGGGCCAGGTGCAGATGGCGATTGCTTTAAATTTTGTAAAAGGAATAAATCATGATTCTCCTCATTCTTTGATGTTCTTCTTCCATAAACATATAAAAAATTAAGGTTTATAGCTTATTTGAAATGAGGAGAGGGAAGAGGAGACGACAAAGAGAAATTTCTCTATTTAATGAATAAAAAATTGAAAGAAAAGGAAGAGGAGGGGAGGGATGTTTCCTTATTTTTCTTTAATTTCTTTTACAATTTGAAAGTTTTCCATTTTCAAGCTTTACGATTAAAAGTATTTCAAGTCTTCCTGTTAGTTCTAGGTATATGTTAATTCATAAAGCAAAGTATCTTATTTCAGAAATGTTGAAGGATTGCAATGTCTTGAAATAAATGAGGAATGAAAGTATATACTATTTTCAAAAGGTTAAGAACTAATGAGGGAATTTATTCAAAAAATTATATGAATTAAAAAGCCAATGAGAGTTCTTGTACTTGAGATATTGTTTATTATATTTTTTTATAAAAAATGCTTGTTCAACAGTATCCTTCTACTACTCATTTTTCTTCATTATTATTCTTGAACCCTATATTTTTATGTTTCATTTTTTTTCTTTAACGGTTAACGACAGATGTTATTTAGTATAATTATTTTTAAATTCTTCATTATGCATGTAAATCTCTTAATTAATTGACTCACAGGTGCATTACTGTATTTTTCATCAAAGTTTCCAAAATTTACAGGTTGGTGGTTTTAGTTCATGCTTACGCATTCGGTATCTACCGCCACAACGGAGAAGCACTTTCTGATATGAAAACTGTGAGAACAAGAGTTCAAAACAAAATAAATCAAGAATAAATTTCGCCCCCCTAACCTATATTAATTCCTGACCCGTCCCTGCAGGAAATACTGAAAATTTTTACTAGATTTGATCCTGAGCAATCCCACCACTGAGCAAAATCTTTCAGAGTCGATGAGGCAACAACAACCAGAATCAGTTCAATGTCTACCTGCAGATATTTCGTCTGCAGATTCTCATACAAGAGTAAATTGTCTTCCTGAAAACACCGCACCAGACCCCGCCCGTGCCAGAAAAAGAGGAGCCGACCGAAAATATAGAGAGAGAGTGAAGGTAATTAATGATCTTCTTAAGTGGGAAATTTAGAGAATCCTTAAATTTATATAAGATGAGTTCATTCTAACTATTATCTTTGGGAAATGCTAAGTTTAAGAATTAATGATTGAGGAAT